GTTCTTAGAACGCCATATATGTGAACCGCCCAGAGACCCCCCTGGGGGTTAGGGCGGTATATCAAGTATAAAGTTAAATAAAAAAATGTAAAAATGTCCCCCCTCAATCTCCTCTTCTCCAAACTAAACATTCCCAAGGCCCTTAGCCTTTCCTCGTAGGGCTCAGTCTCCAGACCCGTGATCATTCTTGTCGCTCTCTTCTGCACCCTCTCGATTTTGTCCACTTCCTTTTTGACGTGAGGCCTCTGGAACTGCACACAGTACTCAAGATGCGGCCTGACCAAGGCAGTATACAGAGGGGCTATGACCCTCCGCAATTTTGATGCTATGGCCCTTTTAATATAACCCAAGACTGAATTTGCCTTTTTACCACTGCATCACACTGACTGTTCATATTTAGTTTACAGTCCACTCTTATCCCAAGATCTCTTTCGCATACACTACTCCCCAGAAATGTATCCCCCATCCAGTATTTGTGCTTGACATTTTTGTGGCCCAGATGTAATACTGTGCATTTATCTTTGTTGAGTTGCATTCTGTTTGCAACTGCCTACTTCTCCAGAGTATCCAGGTCTTGTTGAATTTTAACTCTATCTTCTTGGGTGTTTGCTGCTCCTCCCAATTTGGTATCATCAGCAAATTTAATGAGTAGCCCTTCTACCCCTTCATCCAGTTCATTGATAAAAATATTGAAAAGTACCGGGGCCCAAAACCGAGCCCTGCGGCACCCTGCCGGACACCTCCCTCCAATCTGATGAAACGCCATTGACCAGCACTCTAACCAGTCCTCTAACCAGTTCCCTATCCACTGAACTGTCCTATAGTCCAGTCCACAGTCTTCCAGTTTGCCCATCAGAATGTCATGGGGAACCTTATTAAAAGCTTTACTGAAATCCAGGTAAATCACATCAACAGAGTTCCCATGATCCAGTAAGCTCGTCACACGATCAAGCCGGGTGGTCAAGGTCTGAGGGCAGCCTTGAAAAAGAATCCTGACCTTAATTAGTATATTATATTATGCTTTTCTTAAAGTTGTAAACATACAAAAGGGATACAGTTTTGTGTATGAGTTGCACATATGAGGGGGAAATCATCTCGGGGGCCACTACGCCAGATCCTGAATGTGTCTGTTCTCTGTCTTTCCCAGTTCTCTAGGGAGAAGCCCAGACTGGTAACTGAGGGCATATTCTAAAAGTTTCAGTTCTGCAGCTCCATTCCTGAGGGATCACTCTGAGGTGAAAATGCAGGAACAAGTCCCCACAGGGGAGGCAAGAGGAAAATCCCTTCACATCCTCCAGGCTGGGAATCTGGATGAATTCCTGGAAAGCAGACCAGGAGTTTGGATGCATCAGCAAGCAGGGGAGGGTTCCCTTTCTCTCACACAGTGGGAAGCCCGGTGGCAGGAGTTCCTCAGGACATTGGAATCCTCTCACTCTCCATGGGGAATGCCACGCTTACCAGAGAAGCCTTCCCCCTGGGAGGATGCCAAGGGCTTTCTGGACTCCTTCGAGCAAGTGGCCGAAGCCTGTTGGTGGCCCAGAGACGAGTGGGTGATCCAACTCCTGCCAGCCCTCAGTGGAGAAGCCGCCAAGGCCTTTAACAGTCTGGACGTCAGAGACAAAGAGGATTATGGGAAGGTGAAGGCTTCCATCTTGCTTTGGGATGCCCTGAGCCGGGAGAAGCAGCGTCAGCAGTTCAGGGGTTTCTGCTACGAGGAAGCCGAGAGTCCCCGGGAGGCTTACAGCCGACTGCGGGAAATGTGCCGTGGGTGGCTGAGAGTGGAGAATCACAGCAAGGAGCAGATCCTGGAGCTCTTGATCCTTGAGCAGCTGCTGAGCGTCCTGCCCCCGGAGATCCAGAGCCGGGTGAGGGAGAGCGGCCCCGAGAGCTGCTCCCAGGCGGTGGCCCTGGCCGAGGAGCTCCTCTTGAGGCAGGAGAAGCAGGTGAGGCCCTTCCGCTCGCAGATCGTGAGTGTGGGAGGGCCTGGGCTGGAGCAGGGGCCGACATCTTTCTCCATCTTGGGGGGAGGGGAGAAGGGGATGCCAGGACGTGATATAAGGGTCTGTTGCATGGTTTCCCTGGAGGCTGAATCCAGAGTTTTTGGGTGGGGAGGAATTCTCTCTCAGCCTGAGAAATAGTGGATGGGTCATCCTCCTCCTGAAAGAGCAGGTCTTGGGGTTCTGGGAGCAATAGTTTCCTGTCGTCCCCCCCGTCACCTCCACAGGTGAGAGGTGTGGCCCTGAGAGTCCTGAAGACCTCCTCCCATCTCCCTCCTCCCTTAGAATTCAGGGGCTGCCATTGTGTCTTGGGCCTTTTTGGTAGTGGTGCCTTCTTCATGGAATTCACAACCCTAGAAGCGTTTTGTAATGTGGTGCTCAGCATTTTTATTATTAGTTCGGAAGCTCAGTCCTGGTTTCTCTGTATTACATACTGATATATCTGGCGTAGTCAGGGTGGGAGAAAGAACTCTCTCCCCTTTGCCTCCCCCTCCTCTTTGTTGCTCCTGCCTTCAAAGGATCCATTCCTTCTCTGCTCTTGTAGGGGCCCTCGGAGGAGGTGGCTGGAAGAGTCCCTGAGGCAGGCAGGGCTCCGCCTGAGAGCCAGCAAAGGCGTCCCTCGATGCACATCAAAGAAGAGGAGGGCGGAGAGGCCAGCCCGCTGGGTAAGGAGGGAGAGAGGCCTGCTGGGGCGTGGGACTGATGAGACTCGGAAGCTCCTTCTTGGGTGAAGTTCAGCAGTGGCTCCTTCCCTCATTTCAAGGGCTGCTTGCCTGTCCTTGGATTCCCCAGAGGACTTGATATTCTCGGGAGAGGGGCTGGTGATTAGAACAGCCCAGCTGGACAAAGCGAGACTCCCAGTGACTCTTTCCTGTAGGAGTCACCCAGATGCCTTTGGGCCTTCCCAGTTCTTTGCCCCCTCTCTCTCCAGAAACCAGGGTGGTCCCCTTTGGACTGTTTGGTTTATTTGACAAGGCTTTCCTCTTGTGTTTCAGAAGCTGAAGACCCCGTGTCACACCTATCACAAAACTCTCTGGATTGTATGACATATTTTAGTACTTGACCATCACTCACCCACAGAGAATCAAAAGGGGAAGGGCTGTGGCTCAGCTGAAGAGCCTCTGTTTTGTGTAGAGAAGCTTCAATCCCTTGCATCGACCATTACAAGGACTAGGCAGTAGGTGATGTGAAAGACCTCTGCCTGAGGCCCCAGGGAGCCACTGCCACCCTGAGTAGACAACACTGACCTTGGAGGACCCATGGCCTGATTCAGTATAAAGAATAAGAGCCATATGAGTTCATGTGTGTCGATTTACACCCCAAATCAAATTTGACGTGAGGGGGGAGTGAATCTTTCCTTAGAGAAGGTAGGGGGATTTGTGGGGGAAGGGAGGGATAAAACCAGCTCCATTGCCGGACGAGGTCTGGTGTAAGTGGCCAGCTCCTGATTGTGGAGTTCAAGGAGGCTCTGAGGGAGGAGGATTCAAAATACTCTAAAAGATGCAGGAGTGACAGATCTGACTTGGTTTTTTGCATGGCTGCCAACTGAACCTCTCTCTTCATTTCAGCTGGAAGCATACTGGCGATGGCTGGGGAATTACAGTGGTCGTCACTGGAAAATGCAAAGGAAAAAGACTCTGAAGGCAACTGCAGGGGTCCAGATGGAATCAAGAAGGAGGGAGATGACACAGATGAGAAGAGGGATAAGCCCATTCCGTGCCGAGGAGGGGGCTTCCCTGAAATCCCAGTCCAAGTAGAAAGGTCTGCCAAAAGCAGAAGGAATGAAGGCATCCATTCTAACCAGAGAACCCTCTCCAGGGAAAAAGGAAATGAGAGTCCAGCTTCTGGAAATACCTTTATTCAGGAAATGAGAGTTGTTTCCCAGGAGCAAGTTCAGTCAGGAGAGAAACCATATAACTGCTTGGAGTGTGGAAAGAGCTTCTGTCACCAAACAACCCTTACATTGCATCAAAGGATTCACTCAGTTGATGAGGGAAATAAGGAAGATGAGGAACTGCATCAGCCATCCCCAGATAAAGCCAAGGGTCAAGAGTTCAAAGGAAGCGGAGATGAGAGGCAGAAAGGAAGCCACGTGGTCAAGAAGAAGGATGAACCCTATCCTTGCCAAGGAGGGGATTTCGGTGAAGTAATTCGCATGACAAAAGAAAGCTACAAATGCTTGGAGTGTGGAATGGACTTCCAGTTTCAAACCCAATATAATATCCACTTGCGAAAGCATAGTGGAAAGAACACTCCTAAACATTTGGAGTGTGGCAAGAGCTTCAGTTGCAGATCAGAGCTTCTTAGACATCAAAGGATCCACACAGCAGGCAAAGCATTCAGCTGTGGCAAGGGCTTCTCACACAAAGGAAATGTCACTCACCATGAAAGAATTCATTCAGCAGGGAAGCCATTTATTTGCTCAGAGAGTGGAAAGAGTTTATCTGATGGGGAAAAAGGTAATGCCCATTTTCCAAAGCATAATAGAATGATGGCATATAAATGCTTTCAGTGTGGAAAGTACTTCAGAAACAAATCTCAGATGCTTGTGCACCAAAGAACCCACACGGGACAGAAAGCTTTTGAATGCTCAGAGTGTGGAAAGAAGTTCATTGGGTGTTCCCATCTTCAACAGCATCTAAGAACTCACACAGGGGAGAAACCTTTTGAATGCTTGAATTGTGGGAAGAAATTCAGTCAGAGTGGCAATCTTCAGCGGCATCTAAGTACCCACACAAGGGAGAAACCTTTTGAATGCTCAGAGTGTGGGAAGAAATACAGTCAGATGGCCCAACTCCAACTGCATCTAAGAACCCACACAGGGGAAGAACCTTTTGAATGCTCAGAGTGTAGAAAGATATTCAATAGGCGTTGCCATCTTCATGAGCATCTAAGAACCCACACAGGAGATAAACCTTTTGAATGTTCAGAATGTGGAAAGAAATTCAATAGGAGTTCTAATCTTCAACGACATCAAAGAACCCACACAGGGGAGAAACCTTTTGAATGCTCTGAGTGTGGAAAGAAATTCAATAGGAGTTGCCATCTTCAACAGCATCAAAGATCCCACACAGGTGAGAAACCTTTTGAATGCTCAGAGTGTGGAAAGAGCTTCAACTGGAGTGGTGAACTTCAGCGGCATCAAAGAACCCACACAGGGGAGAAACCTTTTGAATGCTCTGAGTGTGGAAAGAAATTCAGTCAGAGTGTCCATCTTCAGCAGCACCTAAGAACCCACGCAGGGGATAAACCGTTTGAATGCTCAGAGTGTGGAAAGAAATTCAGTAGGAGTGGCAATCTTCAAGACCACCTAAGAAACCACACAGGTGATAAACCTTTTGAATGTTCACAGTGTGGAAAGAAATTCAATAGGCGTTACCATCTTCGACAGCATCAAAGAACCCACACATAAGAGGCACCTTACGGTTGAATAACCAGTGCTTGTAAGGAGAGTGTTAGAAAAGCTAAAGCTCAGTATGAGCTTAGGCTATCAAGGGATGGTAAAAACAACAAAAAAGGTTCTTTTGTTATGTTCAAAGTAAGAAAAAAAGAAAGGGCACGGTAGGCCCATTGCGGGGAGAGGAAAACGACATTGTAACAGGCAATGAAGAGAGGGCAGAACTGCTCAGTTCCTACTGTTCCTCTGTCTTCTCTCGTGAGGGAAATGGTGCTCAACATGGCAAAAACAGAACACATGATGAGGGAATGGAGTTGCAGCCTAGGATCAACATAAACACCTAGTTTCTTTGAATGAAACGAAGTCCTTGAGGCCAGATGAGCTGCATCCAAGGGTACTAAGAGAACTTGCGGATGTAATTTCTGGGCCTCTGTCCATTATTTTTGAGAATTCTTGGAGAACAGGTGAGGTGCCAGAAGATTGGAGGTGGACAAATGTCCCCATCTTCAAGAAGGGGGAAAAGGAGGATCCAGGTAACTACCAGCCCATCAGCTTAATGTCTATACCTGGAAAAGTTTTAGAACAAGTAATCAAAACAGTCAGTCCTTTAGCATTTAGAAAGGATGGCTGTGATTACTAAGAGCCAGCATAGGTTTCTCAAGAACAAGTCATGATGAGTCAAGAACAAGATGATGAGGGGTCTGGAGACCACGTCCTATGAGGGAAGGCTGAAGGAGCTGGGTATGTTTAGCCTGGAGAGGAGACAACTAAGAGATGATATGATAATCTTCAAGTACTTGAAGGGCTGTCATATAGAAGATGGTGTGGAGTTGTTTTCTGTTGTGCCAGAAAGTCAGACCAGAACCAACAGGTAGAAAATATATCAAAAGAGTTTTTGACTAAACATTAGGAATAACTTCCTGACAGAGCATTTCCTCAGCTGAACAGACTTCCTTGGGAGATGGTGGGCTGGAAGTTTTTAAGCAGAGGATAGATGGCCATCTGACAGCAATGCTGTGAACTTAGGCAGATTATGAGAGAGAGGGCAGGAAGGGTTGCCTCAGTGCTTAGTTCTCATGGCCCTTGTAGTAGAGATGGGACTATAAAGATTTTCCCCTTTTTTGATTATTCATATTTCTCTGGTTTTTATAGATTTATTTTTAAGTAATATTTTATTAGAATGTTAGAAAGGCCTGTTATATAGAAGGCTTTCCTCTTGTAGGTCTGATACTGTTAACAGACAACATAATAGGTACAAAGTTCATGATTCTGTAGTTCTTAAGGGCAAAACCTTGCAATGTCTGGGTCAGATAAGATTTTAGTCTCGTATCAGTAAAAAATACTTTTGTTTAGGATATGAAGAATCCTTGCCCATTACCATTTAGGTTAGGTTAAGTAAGCACTTAGATTTGACGTAGATATATGTTTCTTTACATCTGACAAATCAGAGGCTTATTACTCAAATGACCATTGTCTATTTTTTTTACCAATTATGCTTTTTGAATATTGTTTTCTTGATGATGTCAGTCCATGTATAAAATATCATGTATTTCCTGAATATGTTCAGAATATGTTCAAGAAGAAGAAGACGAAGAAGAAAAAGAACAAAGTTGTCAATTTGTGATGAGTTATTTGGTCCAATTGTTTTTCCTGTTAATTGAAGCACATTCCCTAAATATGCTGAGAAGAAAGTAGTCAATTTTGGATGGACTATTTGGTCCAATTGTTTTTCTGTTAATTGAAATAAAACATAGATCTTCCTCCTCATTTGACTTCATTTTTGACATGGAACCTAATATGTACAACACCCTTTCTTACACACCCAGGGAAGTGCCAATCGCCACTTTGAGGTCAGGAAGCAATTTTCTCCAGGCTAGTTTGGCCAGGGTTTTTTGCTATCTTCTGGACATAGAGCAGGGGTTACTGGGGGGGGGGGAGGTACATGTGAATTTCTTGCATTGTGCAGGGGGTTGGACTAGATGACCCTGGAGGTTGCCAAAATTGATGCAGTTGACAGAATTGTTGTTCAGAAAGACCACATTATAAATGGACATCTGTGAAGTGAAAAAAGCCCTCTCCAAGCAAGAAATGCAAACTGCTACTGCTCAGAGAAATCGTGGAAGCTTTGGTGGCAAAGGAGATTAGGGTGGTGGAGATGGCTCCAAACTGCCAAACCCAACAGAGCTTGTGATGATTAGCCACCTTACTGTATATGTTATCTATCTGACATTTTGTTGCTGTAGTGTTTAATTGTGTTCACCACTTAGTGGTATATAGTAGCTACGCCAAATTCACTGTAAATGGTTTAAGCAGTTTTGCACATTGGGTTCCAGGTATGGTTAATAAGATGTTACTTTGTTGCCATAGAGTCTAGTCTTCATCGATGGGCATCCAGATGGACGGACCCCATGATTTAATCTAGCAGGGGGTGTCATGATCAGAGGCCTATAGTAGTGCGGCCTACAGGCTCTAGGAAGGTCTAGTGGCTCCAGGGAAGCCTGCACTAGAGTAGCTATCAGGGCCTATATTTCCCAGGTCTCCTTTGTACCCTGTGATTGGTTGACGGGATTTGGACGGAAAACTTACACCAGTAGAGGAGTAGAGGGTGTTGCCTGGGAAGAAGTGATAAAAGGCTCTGCACAAAGTGGGAGGTAGTCCACTCCTAGGAAGCAGATGTAGTGTGAAGCTACTGCAGATGGAGGGATCCCTCATCCAAAAGGGGTGAGTCAGCTTGAGGCCAAATACCTAGAGAAGGCTGGGTACAGTATAGTCAGACATGTTAGGGTTTCTTATTTTGCAATGAAGTGTTCTGACTCAGTTGCTCCTTTTAACTGCCTGCCTGCCTGCCTCTCCTGTGCAGTGCCAATTGTTACCTCCATTTTGTCCTTCCTGCTGTCCAAGTACATGTTCTGCCGTATCTTCCCTATGAAACATAGCCGCAGGGTTGTGTTCATTAACAGCAACCTTCCACTTTTCGCTCATACTGGATATGTATCCTGGCCACCAGGAGGGGAATTCCTTTGGCTTCGTGGAGATGCTGCACCCGCCTTTCTTTGCCCAGGACAACAAGAGAAAGATGGACGGTGGTCAAAAGGAAAGCGGTTTCTCTCCAGGCTGTAACACCACACCCGTCTACGATTACTTCCTTTTGGTGGTGCCAGTGAATATACTCAGGGTCCAAATCAGGAGAAGTGGGTTGCGGGCCCACTGAAATCATGTGGTACGTTCTAGCGTTTGATGCAGGGCACTGACTTTCAATGTGTCCCAGCTCATTGCAGGCATAACACTGGGGTGCATTCCAATCTCCTGCCAGCAACTGCACACCAGTACTTGGAGAATCAGGACACTGTTGCAGAGGTGTTCCTCTCTTCGCTTCTGGCTGCTACCCGGACCGTGGGGAGATCTTTGGGGGTTTCCTCTGGTGCCAGTAACCATTGGCACTGGATCTCTGTCCTCCATAGGCCTCAGCTTCCCGGACCACACAATGAGGTTTACATCCAGAACGTTTACTACTTGTTCTATAAAAGAAGGATGAAATCATCTTTGGAGTAGAGCAAACCACATCTCAAGTGAATGTTATTTCAACGCTGGAACCTTCAGGAGATAAGAGAGGACTCTTTTTGCACAAGGCACTCTGAAATTGATAAGAATTCCCTTTAGAGTGGACTATAGACCTTTGGGGGGGAAAGTGATTTTTAAAAATTGTAAACTTATAAGGTATTTGTGGATGTAAGCTTTATTGTTTATTGCTGATTGATGGTGTATGTTTAATACATGCACAGAGTATTCTTAGTAATTTTCTCACGGTTTTGTTCTGGCTTGCTTACAAGTATAAAAGAAAGCCTATGTGGTTAACAACACAAGTCAAGGGAGCTATAAAAAGTAAAGAGGCTTCTTTTAAAAAGTGGAAGGTCTGCCCCAGTGAATTGAACCAGAGGGACCACAGGCTCTGATAAAAGAAATGTAAGTCAATAATTAGGCATACAAAAAGAGATTTTGAGGAACGTGTTGCTAAAAACATCAAGACAAACAAGGAACATTTTTAAAAAATATATCCAGAGCAGGATACCAGCCAGAGAAGCAGCAAGCCTTTGGGTGACAAAGGAATAAAGAGATTGCTAAAGAAAGACGGGTAGATGGCAGAGAAGCTCAATGATTTTTTTGCATCTGTGTTCACTGTGAAAAGTGTGGGGCACGTACCCATGTTTTCAGGAAGGGAATCTGAAGAACTGGGCCAGATTGAGGTGACTAGAGAAAATTCTAGACCTACTGGGGAAATTAAAAGTCAAAAAGTTTCCTGGTCCTGATGGCATACACCCCCTGAGTTCTTAAGGAACTCATGTGAGAGTGTTGATCCACTGACCCATATATGTTGTTGTTGTTCAGTTGCACAGTCGAGTCCAACTCTTCGCGACCCCATGGACCATATCATGCCAGGCCCTTCTGTTTTTCATCGTGCTCCGGAGTTTGCTTAATTTTATGTTCGTTGCATTGATAACACTGTCTAACCATCTCATCCTTTACCATCCCCTTCTTCTTTGACCATATATGTAACCTGTCACTAAATTCTGCTGCTGTGCCAGAAGATTGGAGAGCAGCAAATGTGACACCAGTCTTTAAAAAGGGATCCAAAGGGGAACCAGGAAATTACAGGCCAGTCAGCTGAATGTCTGCAGAAACTGTAATCAAAAATAGAATTGTTAGGCACATAGAGGGACAACGCTTGCTGAGGGAAAATCAGCATGGCTTCTGCAAAGGGAAGTCCTGCCTCACCAACCTTTTGGAGTTTTTTGAAAGCGAACAAGCATGTAGACAATGGTTACCCTTTAGACATTATATACCCGGACTTTCAAAAGGCTTTTAACAAGCTACCTCACCAAAGACTCCTGAGTAAACTTAGCAGTCATGGGATAAGAGGATGGGTTCTCTTTTGAATTAAAAACTGGTTAAATGCCAGGACGAAAAGAGTAGGAATCAATGGACAATTCTCACAGTGAAGTAAGCAGTGGGTCCCA